TATCACATTGCACGCTGTCTAGGGGAGAGAGGTGGGGAGGGAGGGGGAGAAAAATTTAAAACTCAAAAGCTTATAGAAGTGATTGTTGATAATTCAAAATTAATTAATTTTAAAAAAATTTAAAAAAAAAAAGACTTTCTGAGTAGGTGGAGGGTAGGGGAGAACAGGAGTACTGCCTTCAAGCATTTAAGGGCCTCTCACGGGAGAGAGACCAGCTTTGTTCTGATCGTCAAGGGTCAAATTTAGGCGGGATATCAGGTAAAACTTCCTAACAACGAGGCTGCTTAGGAGGGGGCTGGATTGCCAGGGAGGTAGTGAGCTGTTCCAGCAGTTGTCTTTTTTTTTTTTTTTGGTGAGGCAACTAGGGTTAAGTGACTTGCCCAGAGTCACACAGCTAGTGACTATCATGTGTCTGAGGCTGGATTTGAACTCAGATCCTTGTGACTCCAGATTCCGTGCTCTATCCACTGTGCCACCTAGCTGCCCTTGTTCCAACAGTTTTCAAACGGAAGCTGGACAACCCTTGGTCTGTGCTGTCAAGGGAGGATCCCTGTTCAGGTGTGGGTTGCAGTAGTCGGTTGCTCAGGGCCCTCCCAGAGCTGCGATGGGGGGAAACAGAAAGGACCACCCAAAGCCATTCCCTAAAATGGACATGGGCTGGCTTCCTCACTCCCGTGGCCCCAACTCCTTCTCACTCGGCGCCCATTATTTCTGGGGAGCAGGGACCAAGTGAACTCGGGAGGCAATGAACAGGCTGTCTGGCCCCAGGTGGGCGAGCGGCCAGGGCAGGGATGAAAGCACCCTTCATGGCCGGCACAAAGGACCCTCTGTGAGGCCCAAGCGTGAAGGGGCATGGAGCACCGTGGTCAGGCTGAACATTAAACAAACTTGTTTACCAAAAGAAAAGGGGCTGGGTGTGCATGTGTGCGCTCCCCTCACAGCCAGAGGAATGCCACCAGCTCCCCACTTGCTCTGGCCTGCTTGGATCTGAGTGTGAGGTAAGGCACAAAGTTTCCTTCTTTGGCCAATGAAGCCCAGATCCTGCTGCAGCTGAGGGCCCACAGCCCCATGGCCCTTGTCCTCATCTGCCCTGGGCTCTCTCCTCCTCCACCTCCTTGTCACCCTCCAACTCGGGCAGGAGATAGTGCCCACTGTGGCCCTGCGCTCTAGGCCACCCCCAAGCCCTCAGGGCCTTCAGCCTCACCTCCCACCCTGGGTCTCCTCCATTAGACTGTGAGCACCTCAAGGCCTGTCTGGACTTTCTCCCTGTGCCCCCGGGGCTGAACTCAGGCTGGAGTCCTAGGAAGGGCTTAATCTTGGCTTGTTCAATCATTCATAAGCCACAGAGCCCGATTCCTTCTCAGAAGAAGCCATTAAAGGCATAAAGTAAAATAGGCAAGATTGAAAGGAAACCAATCACAGCAAAACTACTACCCAACTATAAAAACTCCTGAGCCAGTCCAGCCCTCTCATTTTACAGGTGAAGAAAAGAAAACCCACACAGCCAAGTGATTTGCCCCAAGTCTCCCAGGCAGCTGGGATGTGAACCCCCACTTTGTGACTCCACATCCAGCTCTCTGCCACTGAAAGGGTCCAGAAGGAAAGGCCAGAAAACCAGTAGCAGCAGTGCAAATGAGGGTCAAAGACGCCCCGACACCCGCTCAGCCCAGGGCCCAGCTCCATAGGAAGAGGAAGGGGGGACAGACCAATTCTTAGGCATCCACTTAGGAAGCAGAGTCACAAGGGGCTCCATGGAGCCTTCTTGAGAAGGCGGCCATCAGCCCAGAATTCAGCCCAGATTCTCCAGTTATCATCAACCCTGGGGAGCCCAGCGGAACGACGGGGTCTAGACAGGTCCAAATGGACTCTTAAAAACAATGCCTTCATTTGGCTTTGCCCAGAACCTCACGGCAGAGCCACAAACTTCACAACCCTCGGCCCCGTGAGGTGGGCTCATCCTAATGGCAAGGCTGCGGCCTGGCTGACAGACTGCAGTTAGAGGTCCCAGCAAGAATTGATCAGCAACAATCAGAGCCTGGGCCGTACCCAGGAGGAGGAGGAGGAGAAGCAGAGCACAGGGGGCCTGGGCTTGAATGCTCTGTTGGCAACACCTGCCTGGGCAAGTGGCTTCCCCTGGGGGGCCTCCAGACCCTCATCCGGCCAGATGTGTCCGGGGCTCACTCAGTCATTTGGGATGCAGAGGGCAGCTCCTCAGGGATTTGAGCCCATGGACCAGCTACTTTTCTTTCTGATAGACGCCCTCAACCCTGGCCAACCCTCTGCCACATGTGGATCGCTGGTCAGGCCAAATCTATTCCTGCCCCTGGAAAAACAACTCAAGGTACATGCTGTAACACAAATTAACAGGGCTTCACAAAAAGGAAGCAACCTGTGGAGACAGGCACACCCACCTTTACCTACATTAATGAAACCTACACTATTTATGTAGGTGAGGAGAATGAGAGGCGAGAGAGCTGGTCTCAAAGGCAGGAAGACCCAAGGGTCAAGCTCCCCCTGATCCCTGCCGATGCCCCAGGAAACCCCTCACACTATAAGTTGTACAAAGTGCCAGCTTGCACAGACCCAGGGAGTTCTCGTCACCTGGAAGGCCTGGGTATGAATGAAATCACACATCCGGCCCCCATCCCAATCCATGAAATAGGCAGTGTTCCCTAGTGGTCGAGGGCCAGCCCCTTCAGATTCAAATCAGAAAGCTTGGCCGTATGACTGACTGGGAGTTGGGAAGATCTGAGGTCAAATCCTGCCTTAGGCACTTCACTAGCTGTGTGAGCCTCAGCCTCAGTGCTCTGATCTGTAAAATGGAGGAGGTGGGTTGTTGTCAGAACTGCAGGAGATGAGTTATGGAAAGCCCTTTGCAAACCTTAGGGTTTTACAAATGTGAGTCATTGTTATTAATAATAATAATAATAAGCATCACTAATCTGTGCAGTAGGCGTTCCTATTAGAAATTGTTTAGAGCCAATGAAATCACAGACCTACAAATGTCAAAACCCGACACAATACAGACAGCATTTAGAAGGCTTCCACAATGTTTTAACATTTGTAAAGCACAGGCCCAGAAGATATGAGATAGCAACTCCCCCCAACCCTGCCCTGCTGCTTTGCAGAGGTAGGGGAATGTGGATGTAGAATGTTGAATATATTGTCACAGTTCACCAATACGTGGGTTTCTTTTTGTAAACCATCTCCCCCCCCCGTTTTTTCACTCTAGATTATAAGAACTTTCCGCTGGGGGGGGGGGGAGGTGGGACACTTTGGGAAATGTGATATAAAAACAAAGGATGTTAATAAAAAATTTTTTTTTCAATTAGCAAAGTGCTTTAGAGAAGTTATTATCTCATTTGAGCCTCACAAAAACTCTAGAAGGTGGATGCCATAAGTCCTATTATTCCCATTTTACAGATGAGGAAAGTGATTTGATTATGGGGACACATGGGCACCACTGTCTTCAGCTACAAATATTTCCAGCTGCACGCACTCAGCGGCTTGGCTGGCGGTGCTCTTGCCCGCACTTTGGTCCCGACCCTGACTAAGGAAAACGAACACAGATGGGCGCTGAGTAACTGGGAAATACTCAAAGCTGTAGCAGAGGAAGCAGGTTTGCACTTAACTGACATTAGCTACAGCACCAGTAGCTCTGTGCTATGGGCATCTCACAGGGCCTTGGGATCTCTAAAACCTAGGTTCAAAGCCAAGGTGGGTGAATTTGGGCAAACTAACTGTCCTTTTAGTTTCATTCTCTCTACCGTGAGCTAGCTGGAGTGGGTTGTGTCTAGGGCCCCTTCCAGCTTTGCCATTTTGGGACCTTCTTATTTAGTGAGGGTTGTCCCAAAGAAAGACGTTCCCGGTGAAATGCTGAGATTGTCCCACTGCCGTATTGAGGCCACCATCTACACCAACATGCTATGGTGCTTTGTACAAGTGGCCCCAAACTGACCCCCCCCCCAGAGGTCTGGGTCCTACCCCCCAGGAGTCGATGACAGACTGATCAGTGATGGAGGGGAGAAGAAACCATCAGGGAAAAGTCACCCACATACACGTATGTATTTATAACAGGGACGAACTCAGACAGACGCACAGCATGTAGGTGAACCTGAGCAGTACCAATCGCTGTCTTTAAACAGTACTTCTGCCCTTCCCAGGTCCTTCCAAAGGCTAAGGTGAACACCTCTGAAGACGAGAAGCACGTTTTCTCACCATCTAACTACTGGTCTTGTGATACAGGGTAAGAGCACGTACTTGTATTAACAGAAATTTCAGGACGAGCACAGCCTTCTTTCAGCAAATCTGTCATCTGTTCTGCCTACGAAGTTGTCTGTCCGAGGGCTTCAGGAACCAATTCAGAGCCCGAGATTAGAACCAGGTGCCTGTAAACTCATCACCCTCTCCCATATTACCACTCGTCCTCCTTCCAGACCCTTCTCTCCCTCTTAGCCAGCTGAGGCTGAGAGCAACAGAACAAGGCTAGACCTCTACTGCCAAAGGGCTCCCTGTGATCCCCCAGAGTCACCTACGGGCCATTCACCTCTCTGCAGCTGTTCTTCCTTCCCTGAAATGATTAATAATAATAACAGCAGCTAGCGTTTATACAGCCCTTTAACACACATAGAGCACTTTACACATCTTATCTCTATGGTTGTGGCAATGCCACTAATTCATCAGATTCCCAGGGGCACGGTTAAGATGGAACACAGTCAACAAACACATTTGGAAATCCCTTCAGCACTCCCAAAAGAAGCTGTTGCTCAGCTTTTCCCAGAGAGCCTCCTTCAGCTGAGATATTCGGGTCCATTTCTACACTTCATATTATCACTGTGAAATTTCCAACAGACATGCCCCTGCCTTTTGTACTGACCTCCAACATAGGAGACACCCCCCAGTCAATTTTCAATTCGAGGGCCATGAGAAAAATAACTCTTGGAGGATTGGTTATCCCCTTGGAGGATGGAGAAAGATTGGAAATAAAGGTTCCTTCTTACCTGTGAGAACAGCAGGGACGAAGGCTCCTGACATCACGAAGAAGACCAGGCAGGCGATCCTAGAATGAGCCATCCTTCTACTTCTGCAAGAGACGGCTCTGGCTTAGACTCCAGGGCAGGGGGAAGAAAGTGTCAGGAAGCTTGAAGAGTTTGCTTCAATGCCAACCCTGTCCAATTGGCTCACAAATGCCTTCCTCAGAGAACACACATGCGCATGCGCATGTACACACATACATACACACACACACACACACACACACAGAGCAGACCAGCTCACTGACTGACTTACCAAGAAAACCAGCTTTCTTGGAGCCAGGGAGCAGCTCCACCCTTGGGATAGTAAAAGGAGGGGAGGAAAAAAAATCTTTCACTCACACACACACACACACACACACACACACACACTCTCTCTGTCTCTCTCTCTCTCTCTCTCTCTGTCCCTGAGCTTCATGCCAGTTTAGTTATTTTGATGACAACTCTCACAAAGGGATGAGGCAGCTTGAGGGAAGTCCTCGGCTCTGAGGAATTGGAGGGGGGAAGAGGAGAGAAGAACCTACCAGGTCTATCCCTCTGCCTCTGGGTAGGGCCCTTGCTAATCCAATTGCAGAGATGAGAACTCTGCCTGCCCCCATCTCCATGGTCCCGTCTCAGAAGTGGCCCAAGGAGGCAGTGAGATGTAGAGAACCAAGCACTGAACCAAAAACCCCAGTACTGGCAATTCATGGCTGTGTGACCTTAGCACAACTTAACCTCATCCTGTTTCCTTCTGTACAAAAAAAAAAAAAAAAAAAAAAAAAAAAGGAATTTGGACCAGTTTCTAGGATGTCTTTTTCCTCCAACAAGCATTTCATTTTTTTATTCCAGCACTACTAACCATTGGTCCTAGAGGTTAAGCTGGAAGAAGCCTCAGAGTTCATTTGTCCCAACTCCCTCCTTTTACAGATGGAGGCCCAGAAAAGGGAAAGGACCTGACCACAGTCACACAAGTAGTCTAACCCAGACCCACTGACTCCACCTGGCTACACTTGACACCCTCTGACATTTTTCTACCAAAATCGTGTAAGACGTCAGGGAACCAGGAACCAGGAAAGCAATACTAAAAACCTAGAGAGGGTGGCTGCGGGTGATGGAAAAGAAACCCATGCAAAGGGCACCGACTTGCTTCAACCCTTCCAAAGGTCTGCCCTCTTTCAGCAGTCAGGCTGAAAAGCTGAGATGAGGATGGGAAGGTCAGTTTCATCGGACCTGCCGGAGCTCCTGGCATCTGCCACCTCTGGAGGAGGAGAGGAGGACCACCAAGCATGCAGGAAGGCAGGAGCCTTAGGAACTGATGGGAAACAAACTTCCTGGACACCCAAAGCACACGAGGATTCTGGAGATGGGGATGAGAACACTCCTGCCCTGACTTCGAGATCATCTTTCAGACACATCAGGCACTCTTTCTCTAACACGTGAACGTGGGCCAACATCCTGAACCCTTCCTCGCCCTGCCTGCTGCCTACTGATGCTGACACAATCTAGAGGTGATGGAGGCTACCCTCCACACACAGTTCCAGATAACACCTTCATATTTCTTAAAAAGATGACATCTCTATGCCCCAGCCTCCACAAAAAGAGGTCAGACTTTACAAGCCAAACCTTAGGAAGAAGCTCTTGGATGGGCGGAGTGAGCTGGAAATCCTTACTGCCTCATTGGTGAAAAATAGAAATAGGTCTTCCATCTTGTCAGGATGAAGAGAAAGCTCCCAATTCTGCCCCACTTACAAACTCGCTAATTCCATAATTCAGGAACTCTGATGAAAAACTCTCCCACAGCCAGATCCAATGGTGAATCAGCTTCTGGCATTCCTTTCCTGGTGACAATTGCTGCTATTTCCATAGAACTACATCTAGGATGAACATGCATCCTCTCCTACAACTTATAATACCAATCTCTTTCAGGTAAGTGATTCAGTTTTCCTTTATTCCCTTCCACATATTCCCCTTTCCAATCCAACCGCTGTTCCTCCCCTTAACACTCCCAGTAGAGCATTAATTTCATTACATATGAAAGACAAAGTGGCTTTGTGGATAGAGACGTGGCCCTCGAGTCAGGAAGACTTAGTGTCAAGTCTCACTTGACGCCTCTTGCTTGTGTGATCTTGGATAAGTCCCTAAGTAACACCAAAGGTGCTACCTGCACTGGTAGAAGGGCCTTTCTCCGTCCAGGAGTGCGCCACACCAGTAAAATCACAGGTCCATACTGTCTTCCCAGCACTTTCAAGACTTACTGCCCAATAGGTAATTGACGAGTTACGCTGAACTAAATCACGATGGCACCAACAGACCTGGGGCTTCCATTCAATTCAGTCAGTCTCATCTAATGTCAGAAAAAACTCCCTCAACAATTTCCTGGAAACACCTTTTTCTAACAATGCAATATTCCTCAGCTTGTCCAAGCCTGTGGTTCCTTAGGCAACCCGGTTAGAGCAGAGGCAGAGGCAGAATGATAAGTGCCTTGGATCTCACACTGCTTTGACAACTGCTACAGATGGCGTCCATAACCCTGGACAGCTGCCCTGAAAACAAGGACGAGGTGGAGACAGTGCCTACTATATGCTAGGCACTGCGCTAAGCACTTCACAAATAATATGGCACTTGATCTTTACAACAGCATTCCCATCTTAAGAGTTGAGGAAACTGAGGCAAAGTTAAATGAGGCTTAAAGTCACATAGCCAGTAACTGTCTGAGGTCACATTTGAACTCAGGTCTTCTCGACTCCAAGCCCTGCACTCTACCACACCACCAAGAAAGCAGCACCACAAACCTATTACTGCTATTGGAAGATGGAAGAAGGCCCTTGATAGTGGGTAAGCAGCACCATCATTACCAAAGATAGCAGGGCATATTATCCTGACGCCATGGCTCAACAGCTTGGGCCAGTCACGAAGCAGAGAACACCACAATCCTGGCTTAAAGTACCTGCTATGTCATGCCCGGAAAAGTGCTCTTTCTTCCAGCTCAAAGGTTTTCCAATGGCAAGACAAGGTTATGACTCAGTTGAGATATTCTTACCCCTTGGTGCATTCAGAGGGGAAAGGTTTACTTTTTCGATCTTTAGGAGGGGGGAGGGCTCACCAAGGACTAGCTACTTCTGTCGGCAGGTTGGGGCTGTCCCACCACCCTTTGTGGATACTCTCTGGTTAACACTGTGATTTCCACCAATGGCATCCGTAGCACACAGTGCTTTGTTCAAGTCTCGGAGAAGCCCACAGGCCTTCATTGCTTATGCCAGGAGATTATCAACTTGAGGTCTCAAATTTAGGAAATGACCTCGACCCCCGTTCCTAAGTGTTTAAGACATTTGAAAACTGCCCCCACCCCGAATCCCCAACTAAATCTCGCCTTTTTGTTATTACTTACTGCGCCTAGAACGAGCAAGCCTGCTCATCCCTTCTGGACCAAACTCGATGACTCCTGGGGGGGAGCACATCTCTACAAACACGCTGAGGCTCGAGGGGAGCAGAGCTGGTCTAGCTACAGATTCCACACACAGTGGGTTTTGTACTTTTATTAACTCAACAGCAGAGAGGCGCTTTGTACAAAAATAAATATGTCCATTTCTCACCAGGTTAGAATACATTGCAAGGTAGGTCAAACTCGATGCATAAATTAACAATGATTTCCTTGAAATGAAAACAAATTGTAAAAACAACCCTGAAACATCCCTAACTGTACTGAAGTAGAAAACTCATTTAGCTTACAGTTATTGAAGTTCCTTGACAGGACTGTGAGCAGAGTAAACTCGTTTCCACCCATCTTCTGATCGTCTTCAGTTTACCTGGCAGAGGCAGCATGGTGTATGTAAGCAGAGAGTTGGCCTTGGAGTCCGAGGACCCAGGTTCAAATCCCAGGCCTCCTGTTTTAGTCCCTAATGTGACACTGAGCCAGTCACGGGACCTCTCTGATCCCGTTTCTTCAACTGCAAAGGGCCAGGCTCAATGGTCCCCTGAGGTCCCTTCTAGCCCAGATCTTAGGATTTCTGAGAGTTGCATGGGAAGTTTTTCCATAAAAACACCCTGGGACAAACAGCGAGGAAGACGACAGAGTATAAAATGGAAACGAAGAGTACGTTTGAGCTCACAAAGTGAGTGTCCCCCAGGAGAGCATAATTACGTAAGCTGTAAGCTGGAGGGCAGGTGGGTCGTTCCAGACAAAACAGAAAGACAAGACACGAGCGGATGAGAGGCTGAAGAGTCCAAGGTCAGAGTGGTCTTTCTCCAATGTCTGCTAGAAGGCTGTTCAGGTACAACTGAGTTCGCTTGTTTTCAAGAGTGGAAATAAAGTGTCTGATGAGTTGAGTGACTCATTACTGAAGAATCACCTTTGTTTTCTAATTTTTCATCTGTTACAAAAAGGGGAGATGGGGAGGTCAAATTCAGACTCTTGGGTGAGTACACGCCTGGAATAAGAGAGGCCTGGAAAGAGGAGAGGCTAGAGGTAGGGGGTACACTCACAGGAGTGAAGGTGTTTGGTCAAATATTTCCAATCTAACTTACCGGTGTTTATTTGAGCTCTCAAACTGCAAGCAGAAAAACCACCAACATTCCCCAGAAAGGCAGCGAGTGGCGGCTGTCTCCGGGTGCCCAGTATTGTTTGTAGCTTCTCCATGAAGCTGAGAGGAGAAAGGGCCTTTTGGATGGACTTTACTCTTGGAAGTGATTGATTGTAAAAGTCAGCCTCAACAAAAGCAAGCACAAAATGCCCTCTTAGATATAATACAACTGTTTTTATTTATTTCTCGTTTTTTTCCTCCACACTGGCAAAAGTTCCGAGGGAGCTTAAAGTTTTGTAAACATTTTAACTATCCCTCTTTCCCCCTTTATGAATTTACAAAGCAAAGGAGAGCAGGAGCCCAACTGTGGATGGTGCCCCGTTTCCCCATGCCACTGGATCCAAAAACTATATACACGTTTGCAGCAGTCTCCGTAGAATTAACTGTACATGTTCAGAAGGGGGCAGGGACAAGAAGGGCGGTGTTCTCAAAGAATAAAAATAAAATAAACCAAATAAAATCATTCAAAGCCAAACTGCTCTCAGAGCAGCTCCAGCCTCTTCTTCAGGCAATGATGGCGGGGAGAAGAGAGGAGAGGAGAAGGTGCCATCTTCCCACAGAGCCACCCCAGCAGCTGCGGCACTTTCTCCCACAGGCACACTCCGACCGTTCCCAAAATGTGGAAGGAGAAAGGAGAGGTCAGAAACTAAGTGCAACGGGCAATTTCAGGGGGTGGGGTTTGTTCTGGGGGGAGAGGGCTCGTTGAACTCTTGGCGGAAGCAAAGCGAGTCCAAGGATTTCTTTACCAAGTGAAGCCGATTACATCTGGGTCTGAAGTGAAGGACCACAAGGGAACCCCAACCAGCCCAGCCAGGCTTTCCTACTGCCCCCACCTCCCGTCGTCCCACCCCACAGTGGTCTTCAGGAACAGAAGTACTGCAGGTGGTCAAGGTAAGACAAAATGCCAGTCCAGAATCTCTAACACGCCCTTTTCAGGGAAGGGTTGCAGGCAGACAGACGCAGGCACGGTCACGAATGAGCAGCTACAGTTCTGGGCTTGTGCATTCGGGAGCCAAGGTTCATCCCCACCCAAAATGAAATTAGACAAATACAGACATATGGTAAAGATCCCAGGTGCCTCTTAAACGAGACAAATTCTCAGCAGAAGGGCCCAAAACAAACTGGTCCTATTCCTCTGAAGTAAAAATATTCATGGGAAAAATCAGTTTTTAATAAGAAAGAAAAATTAAGGAAAAAAGTCCCTCTCCCAGATCATAGGTTCCTTTGTCCAAGAAGGAAGGAGTGTGCCAGAGGGAGAATTCGGCGTGCTTTGATGTCACCGCCCGATGAAGAAAGATTTGAACTTTCCCTCCAAAAGAATGCTCAGAAAAGGCAGGCCAGGGGTGTGCGACTTCAAACCAATCCAAGCTAACCCCCCCATCCAAGCCCCTGCTGACGTTATCCAAAAGCTAAGCTTTCCTGATGCCACGCCTGGACTGGGGGGGCACCATCTGGCTCTGCCCTGGAGTAACACAGAAGTCACAATCCATGGGGGGGTGTTGTTATTGACCAACATCTGTTAACCATAAACTCTCTCCATGATTGCACAAGTTAGATTTTCCCCCCTTGCCAAGAAAAAAAAGAAAAAGAAAAAGAAAAAAAAAAGGGGGGGGGGAGGACGGGGAAAAGGAAGCTGCTGTTGGCAGATCCCAACGGGCTTTCCAGGAAACAGCAGATGGAATCAGCCCAGTGAATACCTGCTGTCTACAGTCATCCTTGTTGGGGAGGAATCCCAACTACCACCCACCCAATAGACAGAGTTCAGTCCACTTGTCTATCGTCCGAGAGGCTCGCCAACAAGGACTGCTCAGAGTCCTGGACAGAAAGGGCTAGAAAAGAAAGCCTGAGATGATACGTTCTGTGATGGTTGCAGGGTGATAAAGAGTAAATGGTAAAGTGTGATGTCCAAAGGTGGAGAATCCATGGTTAACAGACATGGGAAATGGCCAGACGGTGTGCAGAAGCTCAGTAGTCATCCAAAGTCTCTATTTCGCCCATATTAAGTCGCTCTGATGATGCATTTACTGAAAAACCTGCAGGAAGAAACAATCAGTGATCAGTGACTGAACCAAAACAAAATGAATTTTTCTACTTCATGTCATACAAGCCTGCATTTAAGGAAAGATCAAGTAATGCTGCTCCCTACAGAGTCCCTGCAAAGGGGCTGTCCTGAATGGGTCTGTATAAAATGGGCAAGGGCCATCATGACCCCTAGGAGAACTGCCAGTTAATATCAATCAGTTCATTAACAGTGATTAAAAGCCTACTAAGTGCCAGCCACTGTGCTAAGCTAGCCAGCCTAAGGCTCCTCACACCTCCGCAGAACAACGTGGTGGGGAGAGGATGCTGTTTTCAGCAGCTTACCATTAAGGGATTGTGTATATGGTGCTAGGACTACTCCCTCTAATCCTGTCCCCCCAACCCCGCTTCTGTGCTATTCAGTTCTTTAAAAGTACAGGAATACAGGAGAAACCCTGGGAAGTAGCAGAAAGAAGTGATGCTAACTGATGGCCACTCCTGCCCTAGGCTCAGCTTACTGGCAAACCTCCTCCTCTGAATTCTCAAACAACATGCCTCGACGTCTTGGCCAAGACTCCTTACTGTCTGTGAGTTAAAGAGAAAAATCATTTGAACCAATACTGTGCCACCTTTTCTGTCTCCTAACACACAAACAACGAAAAAGCATTTATTAAATACATCCTAGTGACCACCTCTCTCTCTGGCCCTCACAAGTCAGGACCAGCCAGAGGACCAATGCCAGGCAGCCTTTTTAAGGAAGCTCGATAAGAGGCCAAGTCAAAGCAACCTGCTCTACCAGGAGAGGCACAAAAGCTGGGCTTAGGGGCTGCTGCTGTTACACACCCAACTCCTGTGACCTCATGAATGTCCTCATCCACAAAGGGAAGGGATGAGGCTGGGTTATCTCTAAGATCCTGGCCACTCTGAAGGCTGTGAACCCACAACAACAGCTTGATTCATTTTTAGCTCACGTTTAAAGTTACCATTCATATTTTCAAATAAGGGTAGTCTATTAGCATACGCCTCCAAACATAAACGTGGCTTACACAAACAGTTCAATTATGTTCACTCAATTAAAAAATGCAATGGTTTTCAAAATAAGCACGTCGGCTTCTTCATAGAAATTGTGGCATGAGCCTCTATTACACAGGGTGGGTGGGTTCAGGAACAAGAATCCACTTTGTGAGAGAACAAATTCAGCAGGCCGCTTACACTACAGCCCTTCTCTTTTCCAATGAGATGGCTGAAAGGCTACAGTGCATACAGGAGGTTCCCCCTTAAATCACAGTTCAGCTGGTAGATAAAGAATAGGACCCAAAGACTAAACAGACTATGAAAAATGAAATCTTCTAACTTTCTCCTGGGAAGATATATATCTTCATATATACTCATACAGGGTTTCTCAAACCTTTTTCCTGGAATTAAGTGACTTGCCCAGGGTCACACTGCTACTCACTGTCAAGCATGTGTGGGCATATTTGAACTCAGGTCCTCCTGACTCCAGGGCTGGCTCTCTATTCACTGTACTACCTAGCTACACCCTCTCCTTTTTTTTGGTGGGTCGCACCCCCCAGTTTAAGAAGCGCGGTACAGTAACAGGACAAGGAACACATTTGAATACATTAATGCCTCATGAAATTCTGCATCGATTAAAGCATGTTCAAACTACCTAAGCTGCAATTTTAGAAAATCATGTATTATATCACATATGTCGCCAATCACTTATGGGGAGGAGAGAGGGCAGCTGGGTAGCCTGGTACTCACATTATCTTAAAACACCTCAAAGCAGGCCTCCAGCACACTGGGTTGTTAGTTTCCCAGGACAAGAAAGTGGCAGAGGGCTACACTCTGTACCACTGGGGAAAGGACTTCCATCAATGACGTCATGGCTCAGTTTAAATCTAGGAATAAAAATCTCATCTGCTAGAACCTGGCCTAGTCACTTATGTTCCCAGTGGTTCATCAACAAAAGGCGGAGCACCAAGTAATGCTGCTCTTTCTGGTGTCTGCGACTCACAAAGTTGATTTTTAAAGCAGGCTGGAGAAGGAACGAGGGAATGGTTGGCAGTAGTATCTACCAATGAAATCACCTTTCTTTTGAATGACTAACACAACAGACACATGTTGCAAGGAAAATGGATTTTAAAGCTACCACAATCTATCAACCTGATTTTACAGATATGCAAACTTGTCCCCACAGTGAAAGAAAGAGCATGTAAACCAGGTCCTGGGCTTTGCTCCATTATAGCACACTGCCTTCTAGGGTAATACATATATATACATACACACACACACACACACACACACACACACACACACACACACACACACACTGCATGTTGTCTGTATGAAAGCAAACATGCTGGTTAATAGCAGGCATCTGATAAGAGAATTTATAGAAACTGGAAGAATGGATTATGTTGGAAATTGGATCAAATTTTCATTTCTAAAACTGCAAGGACTCCCTCTGGTGACTACTTTTATTTTTAAAAAAAGCCACAGTCCACTTAGCCAGTGTTTTTCAGAAACTAATTCACTGTAGGGGGGGCCACATCCTTTACAGAACGAAGGTTTTTTTTTTGTTTTGTAGTCTATTAATTTTTCTTGGTACTCATCACAGAACTTGGTCAAGGAAGTAATTTACTTCTTTAAAAGCTCTACATGTGTCTCCACGAGAAATGGAAGAAAAGGAAATAAAGGTCTTACAGCCTCCTGGCCTCTGAGGTGAAGCTGACACCAGGAACCAGGGAGCCAGGAAGGGACCTTATCCAATGGATTACAGGGTAGTTGTGATGACCTTCTATGATTTAGAGATGGCAGGGTATGAGGCTAAAGGACTGGCCTCAGTCACAGAGCTAATATGGGGCAGAAGCAGGGCTGGGACTGAGGCATTCCTGACTCCGAGGTCAGCTAGAAATTAGTAACTTATAAGAATAAGCAAACTGCCTTAAAAGAAAAGGTGTTTAATTTTTCAGTCACGTCTCACTCCGTTACCCCATGTGGGTTTTGGGGTTTTTTTTGTTTTTTGGGGGGGAGGGGGGCGCAAAGATGCCAAAGTGGTTTGCCATTTCCTTCTCCAGCTCATTTTACAGATGAGGAAACTGAGGCAAACAGGGTGAAGTGACTTGCCCAGGGTCTCACAGCTAGTAACTGTCTGAGGCTGGATTTGAACTCGGGGCAGAAAGGTCTTCTGGGCTCCAGGGCCAGTGCTCTAATGCACTAATGCACTATGGCTCCACCTAGCAGTCCCCTACAAGAAAAGTTACAAATTTAAAAGCTTACTTTTCACTGATACAAGGAACCTTCTTGGCAACAACCCTCTGATATTTTCCCTTTTCTCCTCTGACCCCTGTGAGACATGGGAGACACTGGCACCTAACTGCCCAGGATGGCGTGCCAGCAAAAAAGAAAGCGCTGCACTCTATGAGCAAAGCAGAACTGCAGCAACTCACAAGAATTATGCGGCCTGCCAATTCAGAGATGTCTCCGTCCCCAGCGTTCATGCAGGTTATCTACGCCTGACCCGTGGGAGAGTTTAAAAGTTGAAGAGTTCAAAACTCAAGTAATTGGCTGGGATCATGAGCAAGCAGCGCAAAAAGAGTCACACTATATTATCTTACTTTGATGACAAAGAAGATCAAAACATACAACCAGAAGAAGACAACGAAGCGAAAGCTCCTACATTCAAAGCCTCCAAGAAGAATATGAATCAGTCCCAGGCCTTGGAAGACCTCAAAAGGGATTTTGAGAAGCAAGTAAGAGAAGTAGAGGAAAAATTGAGAGTGAGAGGCTAAAGGAGACCCAAAAAAATACTGAAGAAAATAACACCTTAAAAAATAGCCTAACCCAAATGGCAAAAGAGGTCCAAAAAGCCAATGAGGAGAAGAATGCCCTTAAAAGCAAAATTAGCCAAATGGAAAAGGAAATCCAAAAGCTTACTGAAGAAAATACTTCCTTAAAAATTAGAATGGAGAAATTGGAAGATAGGGACAATTTGAGAAATCAAGGCACTGGGGCAGCAGTGGATAGAGCACCGGCCCTGAAGTCAGGAGGACCTGAGTTCAAATCCAGCCTCAGACCAAACACTTGACACTTACTAGCTGTGTGACCCTGGGCAAGTCACTTAATCACAATTGCCTTAAAAAAAAAAAAGAGAGAGAAATCAAGGCACTGTAACACAAATCAAAAGGAATGAAAAATTAGAAGAGAATGTGAAATATCTCATTGGAAAAACAACTGACCCGGAAGATAGATCCAGGAGAGAGAATTTAAAAATTACTGGATTATCTGAAAGCCATAATCAAAAAAAGAGCCTAGACATCATCTTTCAAGAAATTATCCAGGAAAACTGCCCTGATATTTTAGAACCAGAGGGCAAAATAGAAACTAAAAGAATCCACCGATCTCCTCCTGAAAGAGATCCCCAACGGAAAACTCCTAGAATATTGTAGCCAAATTCCAGAATTCCCAGGTCAAGGAGAAGATATTGCAAGCAGCCAGAAGGAAACAATTCAAGTATTGTGGAAACACAATCAGGATAACACAAGATTTAGCAGCTTCTACATTAAGGGTCCAGAGGGCATGGAGTATGATATTCCGGAGGGCAAAGGAATTAGGACTACAATCTAGAATCACCTACCCAGCAAAACTGAGT